TTATGCTAGCATGTACTTAAACTATCAGATCGGTGAAAACGGAGGAGGGGGTCGGGCCAGTGTGGGAATGCAATCAGCAGCCATTAAGGTTGTTTCATTTTGGCTGATGGCAGCTTTAAAACGGGATGCAGGAGTTTTACTTTAATGAGAATACTGTAGACATGAAGAGGGGATGTTGTTGGTGTTTGGTGCTGAGCTGCATTCAGGGTCAGTCAAATAGTGTTCACAAATAGAGAGGGAAAACAGGTGTTGGCATTGAAGCAGAAAAATTGATGTAGAGGAGGCACTTTGTGTGCAGACTTTCCTCCTTTTTACAGACAACACTCAAACACTGTTTTTTAAAGTGGGTTGAACACAGACTGCAGAAGAAGCTGGGAATAAAGTCTCTCCAGCTACAACATGTTGTAGAATGTAAAAAGGTGAGGAAGCGTTTTGTTTGGAGAGAAGACGGACACCATGATCTAGGGACCAGGTGGTGTCCCCTGTAGCCCGCAGCACAACAGCTGAGATTGACCCTGACCGGCGACCTCTGTGACCCCTGACAGTTAAAACAGGAATCAATTATCCTGACTGTCAGCGAGTTCGGTGGCATTCCTAAACAGGAGGCCAGGAGTCCCAGCAGGTAGCATTTGTCACCAGTGAAATGAGAAAATCGAACATTTATAGACACTGTATGGGAGGGAAGATTGTCTAACTGTTCTGTATTTCAATACTTTAAGATACCGTGTGTTTTACACAATACAATCTTCTTTATTTTGATGATAGTATCGTAAGGACTGTAGCTTTAAAAAAAACTTTAGACCTGTCACAGGGAGGTCTGATTGGTTCATCAGATTGATAACTCGTGGCAGACGGCCACAGATGACAGATTTTCTTTGTTCCTTTTTCAGAGCTCATGAGTTATTCATTTCTGTCAGGACCTAAAGACAATTTCAAAACAAATCTTAAAAAGTCTATCTGGAGAAAATGACCAACCCTGCCTTTAAGTGCTTATATAGATATATAATGTAGGTTTTGTGTGTCATTTGTTTAGAGAGAAATAGACACTAACTGTTTATAATTCTGTTTAACAGTATGTTCCACATGCATGACATACTACATCTGAAAAAGAACAGGGTCCACAGGGTTCACTGTACTCTTGCTTCACTGTAACATTTTACCCTCTCTTCATGTACTACACTTCCCTCCACTGCCAACTCCTTTACATTACGTGACCTCTTCTCTGCATGTGTGTGTGTGCGTGTGTGTCATGTGCTTTAACTAAAGCATCATCAGCAGCTGTCTTTTCATCAGGAGGTTAATGCTTAAGAATACAAGTGTGTGAGAAGTCGGTTTGATGTTTTAGGAAACAGTACATGATGGGAGGAATACAGAGAGAAAACTTCTAGTATTTTTTAGAACGACACATTTTGGCTTTAGGTTAACAAACTGTCCTCTGATATATCAACTGTCAGCTCTTGAAAGCAGAATAAATGTAACTTCAGTTTTTACAATTCTCGACCGTGTCATATATCTTAACTTTCCAATCTCCTTTGCTAACGCTGTCCCCTGTTAAAGCCATCGACATAAATCCTGAGAGTATATTGTTTAGTTTCTTTGTTTCTTGAAAGGGAAACCTGGGAAAATCGTACAACAAAGATTTGTCAGCCCTCAGCTGTTGACTCGGCACCCACAGGTGCTGCACTCAAAATGACCCTCAGGCAACAGTTGATAACCAGTTGCAATGGCCACCCCAAAGTTTGTGTGCGTGTGTGTTGTGTGTGCGCACAGTGGCCTCCATGTGTTGCTGAAAAAGAACATGCACCCCATCAGAGCAGCCTTCCATTGCATAAATCAAAGGTTAAAAATATAGCTCCATCCACACTCTGCCTCCTCATCTCGCCTGTGCATTACCTCATGAGAGGAGGATCTGCCTAAAGCCGCAGCGGTCGCACAACAGACAAAAGCGCTCATCTCCAGGAAGCCGCTGCCGCTGCCTGTGGTTTAAGAGCGAGGAGAAGAGAGGGGAAAAAGTGACTCAGCCCCACGGCTCCTTTCTTCTCCATGCCGACTTAGGGATAAACGGAGGGATAAAGCACAGGGGGAGATAATATTTAGAGCAGGCCCCATTTCAAGGGCAATAGAAGAGAGAAAGTGGGGTATGAGCTTGGGTGGTTTGGGAAGTAGCCACGAGGCTGCTCTATACTGTTGCTGGCAAAGGGCCTCGCTCTGGGGATTAATGTGTAAGTGGGGAGGAACCGCTGCTGGCCCAGCCCTGCCTTAAAACTCCCAGACCGCTGCAGCTCCACGAGCCTCTTCAAAGCAAACCAGATGGGCCTCAGACGGGATGTTGATGAGGCATGAGTGTGCAAAACACAAACATGCATGCAAGCACAAACACAAATAAATTGACACAGACACAGGCTGGAAAAATACATAACACACAAACATATGTACTTGTTGAAGAAGAGCTGGTGAGCTGGCACGCATGAACGAATGTGCTGACTTGGAGCGCAGCCGCGTTAGACCGCTGAAGTTCACTGCTCTTTTCCTCGTGGCTAAATGGAGCTCCTAACCACAAACCTGCTTTCTGTCCACTACAGACCAAAGTGGACTTTTCACATGTGTGGATAAATCAGATCAATTAACTAAACGGCCGATTCTCAGGAGGACATAATAGCTCTCTGTTAACATAAGTACTGAGAAACAACACTAAATTTGGTTAGATGCTCCCCATTAGCAGCACTGATCCATCTACTACTGTAAACAGTGATGTTCACATTTACAGCCGGAGTATAAAGCAGAGGAGGACATTGTTTTTTGGGGGGGGAGTTAAACAGGTAACCGCAGTGAGTTCATTAACCTATAAGCTCATTAGCTTCACACAAATCAGCCCAGTGGCTGCTTGCTGTCTGGTTACTTTTCTAACTCTTTGCAAATGACTGCCATTAGAGCGAGCATATGTAATAACAGAGCTCTGCAAATAGGCCTGCCATGATGCATGCAGTCTTTTCTCAAAGTCTTTCCCACCGCTGATTAAAGCTACTTAAGACTTTGGAGGATCAACTTATCGTATATCTCAGATGCAAACTCCTCTATCTACAAAAGTCCTGCTAGGGTAAGATTTGTGTTAATTTATGGCTTAAGGATCTTAGTCTTACAACAATTCTTTTTTTTTGGTAAAACAAATAAAAATCTGGATCTACTTCTTCATGCTCCGTAGGTAAACACTGCAACCAAAAAGATCCTGTTTTATTGATGTCAGATCATGTAGAACATTAGTCATAGACACACCCCAGCTCTTCTGATCAAAGCCATTAGATACAGCATGTACTAAGTCAGGGCCTTGAATTGAAAATCCTCCAACACACAGCAGCCTCTTCAAAAGCCCTATAAAACAAAGCTCCCACAAATTGTTGCTGTCACGACAGGATAGGTATCCTAAGAAGACTGTAATTTTGTTAGGAGGGTCCACTTGTCATCTCGCCGCCGTGTAATTAGATTTGAAAAGTGACTGCATGTTAAAAGAGACAATAATGTGATTTCAGGTTTCCAGATGAAGTGATGAAATTAGGGGAGTTTGATGGAATTAAAAATGGGACACGGCGGTCCGGTTTTCCCCGAAACAATTATTTCCTCCAACAAAGCACAAGTTAGGCTGAACACAGAAATGTACGAGGTCTATATTAATAATTGCTTGTTTGTCTTATTTGACATCCGTCCAGCCATAAAATATAATCTTCCAAAGCATCAAAAACGGGAAGATGGATTAATAATAAATAATATTACAACACAGAAAAAAACTTGCATCCATCCTGATCATATCATTTAAGTGTTGCTATAGCTAAATCCACAAATAGCTACAAAACATTTTAGGTATTTGTATCGAACAAAACAAATACATGCAGAAACTTTCAATCCCGTCGAACAAAAACGATCCAAATCAAATTAACCACAAACAGAATCTGCGGATTTACAAAATACTTCATAGTATTCTCCATAGTCCTTCGTAATCCTGTATACCACAATGCCCTTATGCCCAATGCACAACACTCTTTAGCAACTAGCATTCATTGGTTGAGAAATGTGCCACCAACATTATCTGCTCTAACTAGTTTATTATTAATACCAGAAGTAAACCATAATAAATCAAATGTTGTGCCTGAGAATGATTCCGGCTTCCCTCTCACTTTCTCACCAGTGACCTCTCACAGTATTATTTTGTGAACACTCAATAGACGTCTGTGCTACAAACTGCCTGCAGGTCAGAGACTAAGCAGCAGGACAGAGATTACTACACTCAAGGAAACACACCTTGACTGTCCACTCTGCCACTGAGAATCAAACAGGCCGCTTGTTGACCTGGCTATGGCCTGGTTCGAGGGCCACTAGAGAGGGCCTTAATACGTATTCTTAAACAGGCGGATTAGCCAGATGGTCAGATCACTCTTTTCTTCAACCACTTCCATCTGTACATTTCATGTGTCTCTGCTCAAACCATCAAGATTGTCCGCTGCAGCCTCGCCAGCTTAATTTGGGCTAGTGTTACCTACAACACTATTTGACTCCAGTTATAATCTTTATTGCTCACAGAGTGAAAGTCCATTAAAAGGCATACTGTAGGTCCCGGCGCTGAAAGGCTCCTGGAGTGATGCCTGTAAGAGTCTTTAAAAGAGCCCTTTCTTCACCCGAGTGAAAGCAGCTATTGAGGGTGCACAGGGCAGAATACTAACCCGATTGGAGGTCTGCATTTGCTGTGAAACAAATCAAAAGCGTTCTGTATGTGCCCATGGAGAGGAGAGAGGCAGTGGATATAGTTTGTTTGCTGCTCTGCAAACACAACTTAAGGAATTCAAACACTAACAAATCTTGCTCTGTTTCACTTTAAAGAACCAAATATGTGTTTTCATTCAAAAATCTCCTTATGCGCCATGTGTTACAGAATATCATCCAGAGAGCCAAACCTGGGTTCAGCGTACGATGAAAAGATATACTGCATGAATCAATAAGTGGAAACTTACGGAAATAAGAGACTTCAACTCCAACACCCTCTTCTCACTTGTGGATGATTTTAAAATTCATGAACATCACCTGAAAAAGAGGAGAGAAGAAGAAGAAATAAATCAATTAGAGGGAGATTTCACACCATTTTGGAGATAGACAGAGCTCTTCTGATACTAAAACCAACATCAGAAAAGGATAAAAAAAAAAAATAGCATTGGAAAGCAAATAAGACAGCATATCTATGTGATACCATCATTTGTTATCATTTGTTATCATTTGTTGTCACATATAAGTGTTTTTTTTAGCTCTAAAACATTGATCCTAGTTTTACATATTATGGCTGCTAGTCAATGCGCTTACATGCACAGTTAAGTCGATCCACAGATTTAGTTGGACTACTTTCCTTGTCCCGGTATACTAGTACGGGGGAGAATGGATTTATTAACATTAATAAGTTGGCAACGTACAGACACTCAAAATTACAATGTCATAGTAGTCAATCTCGCTACTGATGTTTTGTTTGCTTTTCCATGTCACATAGTGACACAGTATTCAATTCAGTTTTTCACATAAGCCATTAAAAAAGTCTCCTCACAGAGAAGTCGCAGTTTTTCAATTTAACCACTCAAACAAATTCAAACATTCAAACATTCAAACAAACTTCCATGATATTGGGTCGCAGGAAAAGTCAGATAAAGATGTCTCCAGTGGAAGGTAAGAAAGTGTTTGTTTGTAATGTTTGAGCCCCTCTAATGGAAGAGCGTGTTGCCGTTGGAATCAGGATATGTTTCAACGAACACTATTCAAATTGTCCACATCCCGTCCACAAAACGAGGTTCAACAAAGTATGGAAATTTAAACTGTAAAGTGTTTCTGGACCAAATCCATTCTGGACCCACCTGAGGTCCCCCTGCACTGGATGTTCAGGACAGAACAGAGATCCTCTGTGAGCCGAGCCAACCGAGGCTAACAAACCACAAACAGCGTGATTCTTGTACGAGGCTTTGAAGTGGAAAAATTGGCCGCAATCGCTCCTAATACGGTTAGTGATGCCTGATATTTGCTTTCAAAAATTGATCTCAGTGAGAGTAAAAAAGAAAAAAGGCTCTCATCAGAGTCATTCCTGGGATTCTGTGGCTATACCGGACCACTCTGAGAGCTAACCTGGGGTCAACCTTATTATAGCCTCACACGCACACAGTCACACAACACAAACAGCCATTTGCAAAACCAGGGGGTCAGAGGAAACAAATAACTACATCAAAGAGGTCAAACTGCCGATAAGAGCTTTAAAGGTAGCGAGATCAGGACGGAGTGCAGTAAGCGGGCCTCAAATTAAGAGAGAGGACGGGGGTGGTCTTAAGAGACAGTGGAAGGCTGCTAATCAAAGAAAGAACTGTACGGGGTAGATGGTAGATTCTTAAAGAAAGAGGCGTTTCTACAGACATGCAACAAAACACCGCGCAGCAGCACTTCTCTGACGCTATGCATCATGAAGGCGCCTTAACACAACATCTAAGTCGTACAAAGAGCAAAACAAACCGGCCTTTGATTCCACCATTTGAGGCTAATTGAGAACAATGAAGAAAAAAGCCAACACTGGGCATGTCTGATCTTTTATTCATGTCCTTAATCAAGCAAATGATTCTCCTTTGGATGCATTTTTCTCTCAGGGCACAATTAAGCGCAATTCTGACCGCAACTCAAAGGCTTGTGCACTAAGAAGTTCTCATGATAATAATAATGATAACAAATAGTCGGCAAAAAACACACATTTGTGTGGAACATCCCTGTAAACACTTCTTGAAGATGCAACTTCTTTCTTTCTTTCATTTTCAAAAAGAGCAGAGTTGCACAAGAATTTTATTTAATTTTTTAAAGTTAGCCGAAAGCCACCGTCTTAATCGAATGACTGCGAGGAGGAATCCCCTGAGCGCCGTTCACACTCTGCGGCTTTCGATGGCCCGTCTGAACACGTTCCAGATGTCTGCAGAACCAGTTATTCTGTTTCCTCTCCTTTTTTTTTCCTTTTTTTTAACCCCCCTCTTTACCCCCCATTCCTTTGCTCCACACGCCCTGCCACTCATCTGCAGATGGCAGATCTGACACCTGGAGGATGCTGGGTAATCAGTGAGACAGCTGGCTGCCCAGTAGAGGAGAGTTGCTGCTAGAACACACAGACACACTTACATGCAAGAATCCTGCAGAAAAGAGATCATACATTTCTGCACCAGCTGACATGAACACATGTAAATACATCTATATTCATAGAGTGCACTTTAATAGGATTAGGGAGGGTGCAAGGAGGACGAGGAAAACACTGTAATTTATAATAAATGTATTTATGTAACTATCTGTGTGCAGCGTTTGAGTGTTTGCATAATGCAGTTATAGAGGGTGTGGCCACAGAGTTCTGAATACAGATTTAAATACCTGCCTCAGTACTTTTTCAAGCTCTTACATGTGCATTTAAACTCTGTGTGAACCTTTTTTTGTATTTGCATTTTCAAAGCAGGGACAAAAAAATGGACAAAGTAGAGTTTGATAGTTTATTACGTATCATCATCCGCTTTGCTTTCAGTTAAAATGTTGTCTAAAAATGACTATTTCATTATTTCAGCAAACTGTAATGTCAAATTAAGATGTATGAATTTATTCCTCACATATATTAGCTTTTTTTTATTATATAAAGCATGACAGGTATTTAACTATCTATGCAACTTTTTTGGTTGCGTCCTCTAGAGCCTGTACGAAATATTTTGAAGTACATCATTTTGTAAATTTCCATATTGGCAAGCTGATATCATCAAAAATGATAGTACTTTTATCCTAACTTTGATTCTAAAAAGTCATAAAAAAAGCCACTGACAAAACTACCTGACAAATAGAGGGATGCCCTTCTTGGGAGTAACGGGGGTCTAGTTGAAATATGTACCTCACGGGGGGAGACTGGACAGGGGGCTCTCAGGAGGAAGGACATGACGTAAATAGAAGATCGGGGAAATGGCAGACAAAGCATAGCAACAGAGTCTGATGCTATGAAAACAGTTCTTGCCTTTATATCCAAGCTACAATTAGACTTATTCACTGTATCCATAGATGAATGGTAAAGAACATACTCGCAACATAATCATATCAGTTAACCCTAACTTCATGCAGAAATGTAAGGGGGCTGGCAACTTGGATCGGGTGACCAGCCATTTGTCAGGAATTATTATGGCAGGACATTTTCAGGAGTTTGTGGAAACACTAGTTCAGTTATCAAGCAGTCCGTGCTCAAAGAGACTCATATATAGACTCTCTCTTAGACAGCAAGCCCACATTTGTTCTTGGTGTGTAAATGTTGCGCTTGTTCTTTCCTCTTTATATTCAAACTCTTTAAAAACACACAAATTGTGTTATTTCTCTTTTTGTAATTTTCAAAGTCACTGGGTCTGGGTCTGTGTATGTGGAGGGGGCTGACATGAGCAACACTATAAAGTCATTCCATCTTTCCTCTGACAACTGCAGGAAGTAACAGCTACCTTTTTGGCCCTCTGTCCAACAGCTGTAAAACAGCACATGTTACCCTGCCGTTAAGCCAGCGGCAGAAAAATCCCTTCGAGCGGCTAAACGAAAGGACAGAGACTCACTTTTGGAGAAAGCCAAGCCGGAACATCATAGCCTTACAGATAGTAATACAAGAGAAGTAATACGACCTCTCGGCGTAAGATACGACGCAAGCCAAGGAGGTATGCTGTGTATTATAAAGAAAGAGGGCTGCACCTGCACAATGAATGCACACATTCACACAACAAGATATGCAGCACTGTCCCAAATGTTGTCTTGTTGCAGCTGTCAATGCCACTTGTGCAGACGCGGACACTCTGGAGTAAGAACAATGGAACTCTATGAGACAGAAGCTCTCTGAATGAGCTTAGCACCACATGAGGCTCCGCGCTGCCACTTCCATGTCTGCACCATAGGAAACAGAGTATGCTTCCAACCAATCATATGGGCAATTAAACCAGAATGAGGTTCACTTGACCCATACGTGATGAGCTGATAGCACACACTTGCTATCAGAGGAGTGCTGGCCATTTTGAACAGGCCAAATAATGATTCTCAGATAGTGAGAAGAGTTTTCTCTGTAGGGCTGCAGGCAAACAATGTGTCTCCCTGTTATTATGCTCTAATATTGTACCGCATTTCACACTTTGACGACTGATAGATGAACAAATGGGAAGGTTCAGAGGTCACTACCTGAGGAAGAGCCGAGTCAGGCTCAAAACGTTGTGTTCGTTGAATACACATAGCTAATAAATAAGTAGTTAGCATCTAGTATTAATTTGCTTTGACAAATATATACAGCATATTTACTCAGTCTTGATGAAATTCACTGCCAAAGGTTTTTTATATACCTAACACAGCGAATATACCGGGGTAAAGTTTTCTGACATTTTCTGCAGACAAAGCAGTCAAATCTTTCAGGACTGTTACATTCAAAGGTAGGAAAAAAGGCATGACATGATAGATATCATATACAGGTCCAAGGATGAATGATTGGTTGGGTTGATGTGTAATTGGGTTTAGGCCATAGACTATACAGAGCAATAGCTACCTGGGAGTGAAGCCAAAATACTCCCTGGTATTGCAGAGCTTCCCCTGCTGACTGGCTGCAGTTTAGGCCATAAACCCGACTCCTCCATGTTAACAGATGAGAGACAGGCCAAGCTACAAAGTTGAAATACTCGTCAAAATGAAGCTTAGTATAAGTTCAAGTAAAACAAACTTATACTCATTTATTGGTTAGTCATCATTCATTCATGTTATTCCCTCTCTCCCTCGATCTTCCTGCTCAGATGATTAGCTGATTAGGGGCTTTTACTCTTTAAGGGCTTAACCAACCGGGATTCCACAATGACCTCTATCGACCAATCGTCCTGCTGCTGCTCTCAAATTTTAAAATTCATTCTCCTCTCTTTCTCTTTCAGTTTGTTCGCTGCGACCCTCCTCCATCACAGACTCATGCATTCATCTTTACAGTGTCCAGCTCCTGAGAAGCCCCCTCCTCATCACATCCTGCATACTTCCATCACCACCACCAG